TCCCTCCCTCCCTCCCTCCCTCCCTCCCTCCCTCCCTTCCTTCCTTCCTTCCTTCCTTCCTTCCTTCCTTCCTTCCTTCCTTTCTTCCTTTCGACAAGATCTCACTCTCATCCAGGCTGGAGTGCAGTGGCATGATCTCGGCTCACTGCAACTTCTGCCTCCTGGGTTCAAGTGATTCTCCCACCTCAACCTCCTGAGTTACTGGGAGTGTAGGTGTATGCCACCACGCCTGGCTAATTTTTGTATTTTTAGCAGACACAGGGTTTCACTATGTTGTCCCAGCTGGTCTTGAACTACTACCTCAAGTGATCTACCTGCCTCAGCCTCCCAAAGTGCATGGATTACAGGTGCGAACCACCGTGCCCAGCCTTTTTCACTCCTTTCCATAAACGTGATGGAATCAGCATATATTCTCTCTTCATACCACTCAACTTAGGGATTATATTGTTTTTAAGCTTTACTTTTATGCCTTTAAATATATTTAGACCTCTATGCTTGATTTACCAGCTTTAAATAATATAGTCTGGCCACCAGCTCTAAACATCACTTAGTGTGGCAACAGTTCGTTCATTCTCAAGCCTGTATAGGATTTTATTGTATGAAAATATCAGAATTTGCCATCCATGCTCCTGCTGATGGACATTTGGGTAGTTTCCAGTTTTTCCTGTTGTGGTTGCGTGGCTGTGAACACTCTTCCGCATGTTTCTTTGTGCACATATGCATACGGTTCTGCTGGATATACATATGGGGGTGAAGTTGCTAGATCATGGGGTATAGATGACTCCAGCTGACACTCCTACCAGGAGTGCAGAGTTGTTCCACATCTTTGTCAACACATACTATTGTCAGTTAAAGCCATTAAAAAAAACAAAAAAACAGCGATTCATACATTTGTAGCAGCCGAAATAGTATTCGAAAGATCTGACGGCTCTTTTCTTCTATTTGTAATGGCAATAGAATATTGACATTTTTTCCTCCTGATAATATAAGTAAATTCTGAATCTAAAAGAACTTAGTCACACCAAGTATTGCGAAACAATGAAGCTCTAATTCACAGCTTGGGCAAGAACTGTTAGAAGTGCTGCTGTCAGCTGGGACGTCACCAGAAGGCCCACTCAGCTGCAAACAGACATTTTGCAAATATTTAAAGACAAAGATTCTGCGCCTCCCCCTGTCTTCTTCCCTCCCCACCCCTCAGGGTCACTGAGAGTGTCCAGGTCTTAGGACTCACAGGGGACCACTGGAGGTCACTGGCTGGAATGCTCCAGCAGGCATGATCGCCACACAGCTGACTTTGGCAAAGCCATACTATTAACTAATCCTCTCACCACCAATGAGGTAGAAGACATGTTATTATCTCAATAGTACAGAGGAGGAAACTGAGGCCCAGTAAAGTAAGAGACTGTCCCCAAGTCAAGCAGAAAATGAGCTGCTGCATGAAGGCAGAGCCTTACTTCCCACCACTTTATACTGCAGAACTTTGCTCACAGAGGCCCGCTTCCAATAACATCTTGCTGGAGGGTGACAGCGGCTCCTCAGCTCAGAGTGAGGAATGGAAGACTTGAAAAAGGATTTCAGAGAGACAAACTCTTTGAAATTCTGAAATCCTTTTTCAAGTTCACGTGTTCACAAGGGTGAACACTACTACCTCATAACGTACCTGGCAGCTGCCTCTGTGGGTTTCGGTTTTATTTATCCCTCTACCCTCTCTGTGTGTCTAGTCACGTCTCTCCCTTCTTGCCCTATCTCCTCCCATTTTTCTAAGTAGCTAAAATATGGAATTGGAACATTCTAGATATATACACATTCCCCTTGTATTTATTAACTAAAGACATGTTATGTGTCTTAAACTTTTATTAAACCAAGCGAATTTAATCTTTTGAAAACAAAACCAAAAGCCAGTTAGGTTGCCTAGCTCTGTAACTTTCTAGCTGTGGACACATTACAAAATGTGCTTCCATTTCCACACCCACCTGTAAAATGGAGACAATAACAGCATCTGCGTCATAGGGTTATCTCAAAGATGAAATAATTTGATATAATAAACAGCTTTAAAATGTGCCCTGCGCCTCAGTGTGCTGTTTGCTAACATGAAGTGATGCTTTTACTCTCGCTGTGTGGGAGAGGGCCTCAATTTTGTCTTCTACCTTGGACTAGAAGTCCTACCTGTACTTACATCTGGGATTTTTTCAGGTGTCCCTGTCACCAGGAGTCATCAATGGCAAAGCAAGGCTTTTTCATTTACTGGGCATTAGTGATGATTCAGCAAAGAGAGGAAGTGAGAGAGGAGTTCAAGACAACCAGGACTCAGTTTCTGAAGGAGAGTTGCTGGAAGTTTCTGACAGAGAACTGAGTCTGGAATCTTCTTCTCAGCTGGGGTAGGCCCACACCCACACTTAACTTTGGGAAACAGTTAACTGCTGTTTTAGTCAGTTTGGGCTGCTGTAACAAAAATACCATAGAGTACATGGTTTAAACAACAATTTATTTCTCACAGTTTTGGAGGCTGGAAAGTTCAAGATCATGGTACTGGCATGATTGAGTTCTGGTAAGGGCCCTCTTCCTGGTTTGCAGACAACAGTCTTCCAACTGTGTCCTCACAAGGTGCAGAGTGAGCACTAGTTTCTTTCTCTTCTTATAAGGGCACTAATCCCATCATGGGGCCTCCACTTTCATCATCTCATCTAACCCTAATTACTTCCCAAACACCCCACCTCCAAATCGATTCCCTTGGGGATTAGGGTTTCAACATAGGAATTTGGGGGGACACAAATGTAACATTTACTTCTTGTCAACTATCTCCCCTTTTTTGCTATGATAATTTTGTATACCAGTCTCTTTTCCTTCCGGGCACTGACATGCTTGAGGAATGCAGGGAGGGGTACCTTGAATACATTGTTGTGACACATTCAAGATTTGTTGAAAGAATGAATGTAATCAACACCAGAAAAGAGGTGATCAGCAAGTCTGAACTTTTCTTTCTGAAAATGTATTCATGGCCAGCAAGGTGGCTCACACCTGTAATGCCAGCTCTTTGGGAGGCTGAGGCAGGTGGATCATTGAGGCCACGAGTTCTAGATCAGCCTGACCAACACGGTGAAACCCCATCTCTACTAAAGATACAAAAATTAGCTGGGCGTGGTGGCTCAGGCCTGTAATCCCAACTATTCCAGAGGCTGAGACACAATAATCACTCGAATCTGGGAGGCAAAGGTTGTAGCGAGATCACGCCACAACACTCCAGCCTGGAAGACAGAGCGATGCCCTGTCTCAATGAAAAAGAAAAAAAGTAAAGAAAAGAAAAAGAAAAAAAAATTGCTTCCCAGTTTGATGATATGCAGTCACTCTTACAAATCAGTAGTTTATGCGACAATAATCACGGAAAACATACTGCTTAGGTTTATAAATATTTAAACAGATAAACCTCCTTTTTTTTTTTTTTTTTGCAAGACCCTCCTTAAGTCCCCCAACCCACTTTTTTATTTGACACAGTTAATAATGATTTCTTAAAAGTAGAATACTTTTTTTTTTTTTTTGCTTCTGGTATCCTGAAAACAAAGAAAAAAAAAAGAGTACATTTCAAGAAAACGAGTTGAAAAATTAGTCACAATAAAACGAAAGGTGATTGATCTAATTCCCTGATGGACATTCTAAGGACATACAGCTCTGTTGAAGGCTCACTGATTTACAGGGAAAAATATCTAGGATATACCACGAATAAAAAGAAGTCTAATATAATTTTTTAAGAGAAATATGCAAATACACCCTGAAGTGAATTTCTTCTCACTCCAAAGTTCATTACAGCAAGAACTCCATTTTCCATTTCAGTGGTACATACTCTCTAGGCTGCAAAAAATGCAGAGGACAAAATGACATTTGAAAAAGGTGTCTTTAAAGATACCTTTAAGAGCAATAGTCCCCTTATGCCATGTACGCTCACATAAGAGACTGGAATAGTAAAGCACTATGAACAGTGATGAATGTTGTAAAAGTCCCTGGTGAGGCTTAATCAATACTGTCTATAGCCGTGTCCACCGGAGGAAGCTAGTTCTCTGTGAATTCTAGTGGGAAAGAATTATTGAATGATAAACACGTCTTCATTGACTGCTCTATCAGATACTTAAAGTTTCTGGGAGGCCTTGCCTTTTCTACCCAAGGAAGAAGTGAAAATGCGTCTTGCACAATTGCTTAACTATTCCCAACGCAAGCCTTCATTCTATCATTTATTTCCCTAGTAATGTGGGCATAAGGAATCCTGTACTACTGGTGCGGAAACTTGGGTGTAAAAGTGATCACAAAGCTTACATGGGGCCAGGCGCGGTGGGTCACGCCTATAATCCCCTCGGGAGGCTGAGGCAGGAGAATCGCTCGAATCCTGTAAGGTTGCAGTGAGCCGAGATCGCGCCACTGCACTCCAGCCTGGACGATACAGAGAGGCTCTGTATCAAAATAATAATAATAATAATCCGAGCCTGACCAGTCGCCCCACAGCGTCAAGGTGAAACCAGGTGACCGCGACTACAGCGTTTAATAATGGGTCCTCAGGCAAAAACTCCATGGATGGGAATCCCGCGCCTCTGAAGCTGCCCAACGAGGCGGTCTCCTGGTGGCACCTGCCCCGCCAAAGGAGCAATGAGGGGCTGCATTTAGGTGAAGCCGGTATTGAGCAAAGCTTCTGGATCAGTCAGGCGCTCAGAAGGGACGTCTGTGGGAGAGGGGTCAGCACGGTACCCAGACCCCGCCCGGGGTGAGATTGGTACTGAACTGGCTGAGGCGTGGAACCCCTACCCTCCACCCTCGTAAGGTGCCGGGGCCAGTTAGGGCCGGGACTCCTAGAATTTGAATTGGGGGTGGTCTAACGCTGTCGCCTGCGGGGTGTGCAGGAGGCCCCTAGTGAAGCCAAGTGTCCGCAGAGTTGGGGCGCCGCTCTATGCTCGGCTCTCGATTGCTCGCGCCTGGCAGCGGCGGGCGGCACGCGACGGCTGGGGCTCTGCGCTCGAGGGGTCGAGCCTGGGCCGAACGGGCGGCGGCGCGCACTCTGCGTAGGCCTCTGCGCCTCGGGCGAGCGGGTGAGAGAGGCCGCGGCGGCTAGCGCGGGGATGTCGAGGAGCTCGAAGGTGGTGTTGGGCCTCTCGGTGCTGCTGACGGCGGCCACAGTGGCCGGCGTACATGTGAAGCAGCAGTGGGACCGGCAGGTCGGTGTCACGTGACCGTCTCTTCCGGGCCCGCGCGCGGCGGCGGCCTGGGGCCTCTCGTGGTCTCTGCCGGTTCGGTTCCTCAGTTCGTCCTCGTGTCTTTTCCCCGCAGTGGCGCGTCCCTGCACCCCACGCGTTTGTGGCTGCAGCCGGCGGCCGCCCTGCTGGGCTCCGGGCGCTGCAGCTTCCGGCGGGCGTGTGCAGCCTGGAGGTTCAGGAAGACCCGGCCGCCGGGCTTAGTGCCTTGGGAGCTCCGCGCTGAAGTGGCCTTGCTCCGCACTTGCACTGCACGCACGCTTTTGGGGTGCCCAGAGGCTCTGTTTTCAAGTCACAGTTGGCCCGCAGGGTGCGGACCTTTCCACATGTCACTTGGGCCGCTAGAAAATAGAAGGCGGGGAAGGAGTTTCTTGGGGTGCATTCTGCAAGTTACCAGCCTCTCTCCTGGCCCAAGGTTGGGGCTGAAGCCTAATGTGTTTTAAGTGCTTTTGATTTTATCCTATGGTAAGGGAGCCCCCCTCCCCATACTCGTTCTCCATGCCTTTGACCAAGATAATTTGGTGAGATATTTGAACTTCTCTTTTAAATGAACAGTTTGCTGTGGAAACTGGAATCTGGGAACGCCAGAGATAACAGCCTCCAGATTTTCTTTTTGGTACTTTTATTTCAGGGAATATCCGTGACCTACTGATCAGCAGTGACTGACCATCTATTCTTTCCTCTCAGTTCATATTTTCTTTCTTATTCAAGTTGGCAGACCTTTAATGGCTGATTGCTGTGTGGAAGCTACCTCACTAAGCACCTTGGGAATACGAAGATGAGGAAACTCCACTCTTCCAGAGCCTATCAGTGATTCACAACCGTGCTGAGAACGGGGAATTGGGTCGTTGGTGAATTTTCAGAGAACAACTTGGCAGTGATTGGGGTTGAACCTAGTTCACCAAGGGTGAAAATAATGGACAGGATGAATCAAGAGTAAACAGTCTTTTCTTGATTTGCCTACCCAGAGCTTCGGACTGTGCTGTGTGCTTGATATATAGAGATGAAGCGGATGAGGTCTTTGTTCCTGGTGTTCACAGACTGTGGAAATTAGAAGAGAGGAAGCATGTGATGATACAAGAATTTTGGCGAGGGGGGTGGGGATGAGATGACTTAATGAAAGGGCACAGGAGAGATCAGAGATTTGGGATTAAAATGTGCTCCTAAGGGGCTAGCTTTTGGAATAGAGGCAGAAGACTTCCGCCTCTTAGAAGGAAAACGAAAAGATGTTGATCCTGGGAAAACTTGAGATGCAGTAAAATTTAGTATGACAGATGTTGTTCTGACGTCAGTGAAGTGATTTTTGAAGGGTTTGGGTAGGGATGGATTAGAGCTTGGCTTTGGACCCTAGCTAAACATCAGACGTTCCCGGAAAGTTTTTACAGTGTGACTGAGGCTTGGTCCCCACCCCAGACCGTTTAAACCAGAATCTCTTGGGGATGGGCAGCTGGTTCAGCAATGTTTTAAAAGCAACCCAGAGAATTTTAACACAGGGCTACGAACCGTTGTGTTACAGAGTGGAAAAGTGGTTATTTGGAAGTTAGAGATGAAGAAAATGTTGACCAGGTTGAAAAGGCTGACCAGAATAACGTGTGTGTGTGTGTGTGTTTCTTTTTTTTCCTTTTATGTCTGATTCTTCATTAGGGGCTTACATTGTATTAATAGCAGTGGGAAAGAGTAGGACAAATGATTTCGCACATTGGATGTGTCAGAAGATTCAAGGAAGCAAGAAATTAAATAACGAATATTGTTTCCTGACCGTCTACCACATACCAGGCAGTGTATTAAGCACTTTACGTATATCATCTTTAATCCTCACAGGAACCTAGCAAAAATTAAGCAGTGCTACATGAGGAGCCAGAGTTCTAGGTGTTAGGGTTGGAAGAAGAAAGAGGTCTTTAGTGGTTAGAAAGGTAGTTCAGTGAGGGTCACCGGAAGGATGTGTGAGGCAATCAGCATAGACCTTGAAGCCTAGAAGATAGCAAATGATGGGATGGAGAGCCAGATCATAAGCACACATGACACTTCTGAGAAGGAAGGGTAGGATGGGAGGCAGGTGTGGAAGGAATGATTCTGGTAAATGGTGTGGGCTTGGGAGGGTGGGTATCGGTGTGTCATGGTGTAAGTAGCATAGGACAGGAAGACCTGTGGTCCGGGGAGTGGAATAAGCACCTCCGTTTTTGTCTCAGTGGGGATCTTGCCCAGGGTGCATGGTTCAAGACAGTTGGGTTTCAGTTGAGTTATATCAATCCTGGGACTCCTTCAAATCCCTCATAATGAAGCTGTAGACCTGGAGGAGGTCCAGCAAGTAGGTTTTATATTAGGTGAGTTTTAAAACTAGGTAAAATAATTTGGAAAAAACCCTACAAACATATGCAGGCCCTGGGCCCCACTCCCATTAATTCTACTCTATACAGCCACTATTAAAAACTATTTATTGGCCAGGCACGGTAGCAGCACTTTGGGAGGCTGAGGCAGGCAGATCATTTGAGGTCAGGAGTTCGAGACCAGCCTGGCCAACGTGGTGAAACCCCGTCTCTACTAAAAATACAAAAAAGTTAGCCAGGCCTGGTGGCGCACGCCTGTAATCTCAGCTACTGGGGAGGCTGAGGCACAAGAATCACTTGAACTCAGAAGGTGGAGATTACAGTGAGCCGAGATCGTGCCATTGTACTGCAGCCTGGGCGACAGAGCAAGACTCCTCAAAAAACAAACAAACAAACAAAAAACCTATTTATTTATTTATTTATTTGTTTAGAAATGGGGGTTTGTTCTATCACCCAGGTGGGAGTGGAGTGGTGCAATCTCAGCTCTGCAGTCTGTGCCTCCAAGCTCAGGTGGTCCTATCACATCAGCCTCAGGAGTAGCTGGGACCACAGGCACTCCCTGCAATTTTGTTTTTTTTGTTGTATTTTTGCTAGAGACGGAATTTTGCCATGTTGCCCAGGATGGTCTAGAATTTCTGAGCTCAAGCAGTCTGCCTGCCTTGGCCTAATATTACAGGAGTGCTGGAATTACAGGAGTGAGCCACCACGCCTGGCCTAAAACCTGTAGAGTATTTTGTGAGCAATAAACTATAAAATGTTAGTTATTAGTAATGACTAAATTGATGTTTTTAAAAGTCTCATATTGGGTGCCAGGTCCATGTTCTGAAATGCTGTGGTTTTTTAGTGCTTACTAAGGTAACTACCATTGATGAGCATTTATTTTTTCCTCTGGTAGTAGCATTCTTCTTTTTCTTCTTTTTATGTTATATAATTAATTAATAATTCTGCATGATTTTTACATTTTTAACTTTACATGCTAGAAGCCAAGTTCAGATTTTAGTAATCTGCATTTTTTTCTCTTGATGTTTGTTGTTCAGCTAGGATAATTGCTAACTGAAGAGTAGTTTAGAGTGTTACTATAGTAACTCGCCAAGTTTTTAAAGCATTACATATCAATTAAAGTTTAAAAATTTAACATTGGCCGGGCGCGGTGGCTCACGCCTGTAATCTAGCACTTTGGGAGGCTGAGGCAGGTGGATTACTTGAGATCAGGAATGCGAGACTAGCTTGGCTGACGTGGCGAAACCCTGTCTCTACTAAAAATGCAAAAATTAGCTGGGCATGGTGGTGCGCGCCTGTAGTCTCAGCTACTTGGTAGGCTGAGGCCAGAGAATCACTTGAACCTAGGAGGCGGACGTTGCGGTGAGCTGAGTTCACACCGCTGCACTCCAGCCTGGTTGACAGAGCGAGACTCTTGTCTCAAAAAATAAATTAAAAAAAAAATTTAACATGGTGCCAGGTTTTTTTTTTTTTTTCTGTTATTTCCCATTACATTTTCTGTACTAAATGCTCAGGAATTTCTAAAAGTATGATAAGAAATCATTTCAGTAATAACATTTAGCACACTACCAAATTTATTTGATCGTTTATTACATTTTACATTTGTACAGAAAATTAAAATAGTAACTGGGTATTTGGAATATGAAAGTTTTAAGTGTATTTTGGTAACACTGTTATTTGGATTTGAATGGCACAAGGATGGGGACCACCTGTTCGGGATGTTACTGAAATCTGTTTCTTACGTTTTTAGAGGCTTCGTGACGGAGTTATCAGAGACATTGAGAGGCAAATTCGGAAAAAAGAAAACATTCGTCTTTTGGGAGAACAGATTATTTTGACTGAGCAACTTGAAGCAGAAAGAGAGAAGACGTTATTGGCAAAAGGATCTCAAAAATCATGACTTGAATGTGAAGTATCTATTGGACAGACAACACGAGTTTGTATGTGTGTTGATGGAGAGTAGCTTAGTAGTATCTTCATATTTTTTCTGGTCACTGTCCTTTTACACTTAATCAAATAAAGGACAGTGGATCATCTGTTGTAAATTACTGCTTTCAGGGTCCCTTATATCTGAATGAAGGAGTGTGGGCAGACACTCTTTGGAAGAGTCTCTGTCTGTGTGATCCTGGTAGAAGCCCTGTTAAAGTCACTGTCCAGAGCTTAGGATTGTTACTGTGAACCACTGCTGAGCTTGTGAGAAGGAAGGGATGGATAGTAGCATCCACCTGAGTAGTCTGATCAGTCGGCATGATGACGAAGCCACGAGAACATCGACCTCAGAAGGACTGGAGGAAGGTGAAGTGGAGGGAGAGACGCTCCTGATTGTCGAATCCGAGGACCAGGCATCCGTGGACTTATCGCATGACCAGAGTGGGGATTCCCTCAACAGCGATGAAGGAGACGTGTCGTGGATGGAGGAGCAGCTGTCCTACTTCTGTGACAAGTGCCAAAAATGGATACCAGCCAGTAAGGAGCTTCTCACTCCCTTTGATTTGTCAATTCCTGTGTGAAGGTTTGTTTTTCCAACCTGTGAAAGAAGCGTGAATGTGTAAAAGAGACCTAAATAAAAAGATAATTATATTTATTCCTAGTCGATCAGGTATAAATTTATATAAAACATAGGCACGTTTGTACTAATGAAACTTACTGTCAACCTCTATCACATTGTTAAATTAACACTTTTGATGGTAACTCAATAAAATTGAGAAAATTGGAAATCCTGTGTTACTTAAAGAATTAGCCATGTTTTTCTAACAAGATCATAGAGATTTAGGGCCAATTCCAGTCCCAGTGTTGAATTCATGTTCAAGTTTATAAAAATTACTTTGTTAATGGTTAACTTATATAGAGAACTCTTATTGTATACCGAAAAGAGGTTAGAATTAGCAGATTGAAGGGGTTTTTTGCCCTTTTTCTAGGACCAGTCTTTTTTCCCATTTTCCTTTTTTTCTGCTGGCAAGAGATACATCATACACACTCCCTGATTGCTGCAATCTTGAGGTTTTTTTTTCTTTTTTCTTTTTTGAGGTGGAGTTTTGCTTTTGTTGCCCAGGATGGAGTGCAATGGAGCGATCTCAGCTCCTGGGTTCAAGTGATTCTCCTGCCTCAGCCTCTCAAGTAGCTGGGATTATAGGCATTTGCCAGCACACCTGGCAAATTTTTTTTTTTTTTGAGACGGAGTTTCGCTCTTGTCGCCCACACCGGAGTGCAATGGTGTGATCTTGGCTCACTGCAACCTCCGCCTGCTAGGTTCAAGTAATTCTTCTGCCTCAGCCTCCCCAGTAGCTGGGATTACAGGCATGCACCACCACGCCTGGCTAATTTTGTATTTTTAGTAGAGAGAGGGTTTCTCCAGGTTGAGGTTGGTCTTGAACTCCTGACCTCAGGTGATCCACCTCGGCCTCCCAAAATTCTGGGATTATAGACAAGAGCCACTGTGCTCGGCCCTAATCTTGAGATTTTCAATGGCCAGCTTCCTGGCACTTGAGGAGCGTGGCTTGCCAGCCATCACATGGTTCATACCGAAACAGGATTTTCCCGTTAGGCAAGAGCCTAGTAAAGATATACTACTTGAGGAATGCCTTTGTGTAATATAATTTGTAACCAAGTCAGAGAAATATAATTGTGAAGAGGGTCATTTTCTGGCATGCGGAAATGTTTTTCTTAAAATGGGTTCAACTTCAAATTTAGTCACTGTTAACAAATTAATAGTAACATTTTCATGGGAAACGTAGAATTTACTAGTTAGACGGTTTTTGCTTCTGAGCGGTCTCTGCTTATTAATTTCAGGTTCTGCCTGAATTCTCAGTGGCTTTCCCTTTATCCTGTGAGGACAAATTTTAAACTGCCCTTTGTGGTCAGGACCCTGCTAACTGTAGCTGCTTTGATGGCCACACAACTTTGCAGTGAGGGTGAACTTCTCATTCTTCACAAACAATTCTTATCCTTAGGGCTTTGCACAGTTTTTTTCCTCTGGAATATGCATCTCCACAGCCTCCATTCTCCCTACACACAAAGACACCCCTTTTCACCTGGCCAATTTCTAATCCTAAGCCTCCCACTAATATAGGTTGGGCCCCCCTTTTATTTACCCTCACACTGCCCTGTGGTACACATCACATTCCACTCCTTTGGTTTTCATGTGTCACAGAGCATCAGCATCACCTGAGGGACTTTAAGAAATGTAACTCCTAGGCTCTGCTTTAGAAATTGATTAATTTTATCTGGGCTAGAACCAAGCATATTTAGAAAACCAAGAACAACTTGGGTGATTCCAATGCACTGTGAGCATGGAGAACCACTGTGCTGTTGTGATCACCTATTTTCTATGCAACCCTCAGGGAAGTGCAAACTGTGAGAGCAGGCACCATTTTCTGTCTTGGACTTTGTATTCCCAGTTCCTAGCCCAGTGCCTGGTATGCGGAGGGAGCTCAAATTTTTTGAAAGAATGTGTGAAGAGACCTGCCTTTGGGAGTCAGGAATGTGACAGTTGGGAAATCCAGCAATAATACCTGCTTTTCCAGTACCTTTCTCCTAAAAGTTACTGGATCCTACAGATCTTAGTGGGCGTATACTTGGTATTAGAAATCTTTCTTACTCCCTTTTCCCCATCTTGCAATTGTGGGTTGTCTGAAGAAAATACGACTCAACATAGGAAAGGAAAATCTGGGTGATAAATGGATTAAACCTTTGGGTTACCGCTGCTCTAGATAAACCCGTGATGTGACTTTTTGTTTTTCTCCTAGGTCAGCTGAGGGAACAGCTCAGTTACCTTAAGGGTGATAATTTTTTTAGGTTTACTTGTTCGGATTGCTCAGCAGATGGCAAGGAGCAGTATGAAAGGCTGAAGCTGACATGGCAGCAAGTGAGTAAAAAGCCTTCCCCGAGTCCATGAGGGTGGTTCCCCCAGGAGTTTGTTGGAATGAATATCTAGAAACTTAGGGATGAGCTTTTGAATTGTTCGGAGGGGCACTTTTTATTTCGCAATGAAATTAGATACCGAATATATGGAGAAGGGAGTGAAAAATACTCGCTGTAATCCCAGCACTTTGGGAGACCGAGACGGGCAGATCACCTGAGGTCAGGACTTCGAGATCAGCCTGGTCAACATGGTGAAACCCCATCTTTATTGAAAATAGAAAAATTAACTGGCTAGTGGTGGGCCCCTGTAATCCCAGCTACCTGGGAGGCTGAGGCAGGAGAATCGCTTGAACCTGGGAGGCGGAGGCTGCAGTGAGCCCAGACCGCGCCACTGTACTCCAGCTTGGGCGACAAAGTGTGACTCCTTTTCAAAAAAAAAAAAAAAAAAAGAAAGCAAAATATTCACTGCTGACTTGGCGAATTAGGCTTGAGAGGCTTGAGAATCTCATGATTTCATTTATATGTGATACCAAGCTCAGATTATAATTGAAAATGAAATTCTTATTTTCCTGGCAGCCATTTTAAGAACAATAAAACTTTTTTTAAAGTGGAAAGATGGCTATGTTGAAAACAGATTTGGAAGAAGGAAGGTGACTGATTGCAAAAACCAACATAACCCAGCTTTTCTGCATTTGAACTCGGAGATGTTTGAATTTTTGTTTGCTGAAATACTTGTTCATTTTTAACCGTCTCTAATACCAACATGCTAATCTAAGCCAGCTGTATCCTAAACAATAGCTTTTTACTGATCTCCAGGTTGTATTAAATTGTTTTGGTTTTGTTTCTATATCAATAGGTGAATATATAATATGAATAATAATAAGGTATCAATGTATACTTTTTAGTTCAACAACCAAATGAAGCCAGACATGGTGGCTCACATCTGTAATCCCAGCACTTTGGGAGGCGGAGGCGGCCAGATTATCTGAGCTCAGGAGACAAGCCTGGGTAATGTGGTAAAACCCCGTCTCTATAAAAAACAGGCCAGGCGAGGTGGCTCATGCCTGTAATCCCAGCACTTTGGGAGGCCGGGTGGGGCGGATCACCTGAGTTCAGGAGTTCGAGACCAGCCTGACCAACATGGAAAAACCCCGTCTCTACTAAAAATACAAAATTAGCTGGGTGTGGTGGTGCATGCCTGTAATCCCAGCTACTTGGGAAGCTGAGGCAGGAGAATCGCTTGAACCCGGGAGGCTGAGGTTGCCATGAGCCGAGATTGCACCACTGCACTCCAGCCTGGGCAACAAGAGTGAAAGTCCGTTTCAAAAAAAACCCAAAAAAAACAAAACAAAACAATACAAAAATTAGCTGAGTGTGGTGGTGGTGCACGCCTGTGGTCCCAGCTTCTCAGGAGACTGAGGTGGGAGGGTTGCTTGAGCCTGAGAGGTTGAGGCTGCAATGAGCTGTGATCGAGCCACTGCACTCCAGCCTAGGTGGTGACAGAGTGAGATCCTGTCTCAAAAAAAAAAAAAAAAAGAATTACATGTTACTTAGTTTTTATGTTCATTCATTCATTTAGCAAATCTATTTATGTGTTTATCTATTTATTCAGCAAATTTATTTTTTATTTTTTATTTTTTTTTTGAGACTGAGTCTGGCTCTGTCGCCCAGGCTGGAGTGCAGTGGCCGGATCTCAGCTCACTGCAAGCTCTGCCTCCCGGGTTTACGCCATTCTCCTGCCTCAGCCTCCCGAGTAGCTGGGACCACAGGCGCCCGCCACCTCGCCCGGCTAGTTTTTTGTATTTTTTAGTAGAGATGGGGTTTCACCGTGTTAGCCAGGATGGTCTCGATCTCCTGACCTCGTGATCCGCCCGTCTCGGCCTCCCAAAGTGCTGGGATTACAGGCTTGAGCCACTGCGCCCGGCCTTATTCAGCAAATTTATTATGAACCAGGTACTGTTCTAGGCCTGAGACTACTGTGGTGAACAAGACAGCTAAGGCCTCTGCCCCAAGACAGCTGACATTCTATACTTAATTTTGATAATAAACAGGTCAACAAGATAATTACCCACAGCACTTTTTACTTTGAAGGAAATAAATAGATTGATGAGAAAGATTTTAAATTATACCATTTTAGCCATTTATGGTGTTCCTTGTAAATTGTAGTTACCTTAGCAACATTAGTCTATTATCTTAATTATCAGTGCTTTATTAGGACATCTGATGAAATCTGTCAGTGTTGAATTAGGAAGCCTTTTCTTTGACTTGCCTGAAAAAAATGTAAGTAGAAAATGAAGAGAAGTTTGTATTGAGGATAGAGCCTTATGAATATTATAACTGGGACATTTTTCTCAAGTGTACATGGGATACTGTGTGTAGGCAAGATCTTATTAATAGATTATTGTGATACGTGCACGCAGGTAGATTTGTATTGTCCTGCAAGTGGTTTCTCATAAAAGCTATATAATGGAAGAAGAGCAAATATATGTAATTTGTTATTTTCAAAAATGTGAGTTTTCTGTAGTGGGTCTTTTTAAAAGAAAAGCTGGCTTTTGCTTATTTTGCTCAGACTATGTAATATTGGCTCACTTTGCATATTTATTTACTTTTTTTAAATTTTTAAATCTTTTTGAGACACGGTCTTGCTCTGTTGCTCAGGCTGGAGTGTAGTGGCACGATCTCAGCTCACTACAACCTCCGCCTCCCAGGTTCAAGCAGTCCTCCTGCCTCAGCCTGTCTAGTAGCTGGGATTACAGGCACGCGCCACTATGCCTGGCTAATTTTTTGTATTTTTAGTAGAGACAGGGTTTTGCCATGTTAGCCAGGCTGGTCTCGAACTCCTGACCTCAGGTGATCCACCCACCTCGGCCTCCCAAAGTGCTGGGATTACAGGTGTGAGCCACCGTGCCCGGCCACTTTGCATATTTAATTAGACTAACATAACTTGCAAATTATTTTTTCACTTCCAAAAGACATATGGATGGTGGATACTAACTTGGTAGGGTGAAGTGATAACTTAGGTTGCATATATCTGATTCTTAGCAAACAACTGACCAGTATTTCTAGTTGCATCTGAAAAAGCCCATCTCTTGTTGAAGACCTGAAAGAGAATCAGTTGGTCTTGAATAGACTCCATTGATGTAGCCACATTCTTAGTATATTGAAATGTGGGTTTTCTGTCTTTAAATCTTAAACTTTGAAAGATTTACCAAAGAAATATATAGAAATGCGTGTAACACAAACAGCATTTTGTTTGTATTATAAAATACTTACAGTAAAGTGGTCTGATCTCCTGATTAAAAGGCCCCTTCCTGCCACGCTCCCTTTCTGTGTCCTTTCCTCCTCGTTGGTGACTCCTGTGAATAGCAGTTCCATACAGAGGAGAAACTTTATCAGACGTTTGGGAAGAATAGGGAAGGTTTTACATTCTTTTCCTGGAGACTCATTCTTACGGCACAAGTAAGGATACCATGATCGATCTTTGCCCGTTATTTTTCTACTGTTCTTCAGCATATACTGAGTACCTGCCAGCTCTGAGCTAGGCCCTGTGGATACATTGGTCCACAAGATCAGCTTCATTACTGATGAGCTTGATCTGGTAGCATGAGAACGGAAAACTAAACTAGTGTTCATTTTTTTTTTTTTTTTGAGATGAAGTTTCACTCTTGTTGCCCAGGCTGGAGTGTAATGGCTCACTGCAACCTCTGCCTCCTGCATTCAAACGATTCTCCTGCCTCAGCCTCACGAGTAGCTGAAACTACAGGCATGCTCCACCATGCCCAGCTAATTTTTGTATTTTTAGTACAGACAGGGTTTCACCATGTTGGCCAGGCTGGTCTTGAACTCCTGACCTCAGGTGATTCACCCACCTCAGCCTCCCAAAGTGCTGGGATTACAGGTGTGAGCCACCATGCCTGGCCTGGGATTCATTCTTTTGGATCATAAATTCCAGGAGACGAGGAAAAACAGGTCCTTTATATATTAGTTTATAGTTTTCCCAGTAAAGATTAAGTGATAATAGAAAAAGTTATTTTCAAGTAAATATGCAAACTTTAACTTTTTAAAGTCATAAAATGTCTCAATTATACAGAAAAGTCATAGAAATAAAATAACAGATACTTTATCACTGAGATTATCAGCAAATACATGTTTCTGAGATACTCTTCTGAGTGGGCAAAGCTTGTTCTATGATTTTCTTAAATTATTTATTGAGCAATAATTATTTTTTAAACTTGTGGTGAAATATGCATAACATATAGTTTACCATTTTTTAATGTACAGTTCAGTGGAATTAAGTACATTCACATTGCTGTGTAATCACCACCACCATCCACCTCCAGAATTTTTTTATCTTTTTTTTTTTTTTTTTGAGATGGAGTCTCGCTCTGTCGCCCAGGCTGGAGTGCAGTGGCGCGATCTCGGCTCACTGCAAGCTCCGCCTCCCGGGTTCACGCCATTCTCCTGCCTCAGCCTCCCGAGTAGCTGGGACTACAGGCGCCCACAACCGCGCCCGGCTAATTTTTTGTATTTTTAGTAGAGACGGGGTTTCACCGTGGTCTCGATCTCCTGACCTTGTGATCCGCCCGCCTCGGCCTCCCAAAGTGCTGGGATTACAGGCGTGAGCCACCGCGCCCGGCAGAATTTTTTTATCTTTACAAAATGAAAGTCCGTGCCCATTAAACACTAACTTCTCATGAATATTGATTGCTTAAAGGAAGATGTTTGTTGGCTGGTGTAGACCAGATGCAGGTATAACTGGAAGACATTTAAAAAAATCTGTTCATGGGGTTAATTGTTTTTAGACTGTCTGCAAGTATTGCCAGTTTAAGAATGGGAGAATTTGAAACTTGGTTAGTGAAGAGTCAGAATTACTGGGCCCCTTTGAGTGGTGTAGATACAGGTCTTTCCGTAAGACTGTTGGGGATTTAATGCTGTGAATACAGATGTTGGGGGCGTTAACTGCAATTTACTACACTCCTTACAGATACAGGATGCTCTTTATAGAAATAAGGATTAGGCTGGATGCAGTGGCTCGCATCTGTAATTCCAGCACTTTGAGAGACTGAGGCGGGCGGATCACTTGAGGTCAGGAGTTCAAAACCCTGTCTCTACTGAAAATACAAAAATTAGCCAGGAATGGTGGTGCAAATCTGAGATTCCAGTGCTCGGGAGGCTGAGGCAGGAAAATTGCTTGAACCCAGGAATCGGAGGTTGCAGTGAGCCGAGATCACACCATCACATTCCAGCCTAGGCATCACAGTGGGACTCCGTCTCAAAAAGACCAAACAAACAAACAGAAAAAAAATCTATATGAGTATATGAGTATAGATTCAAAGAAAAATGTCTGAAAGGATGGGATTATTTCTTGATGGTGGATTTCAAGTGATTTTTACTTCCTCCTTTGTTTGCTCTTTTCTATATTACTGAAGTATTTTACAATGAGCATATGTTATTTATATTTCTGGAAAATACTTCCCCATTTGGGGCCATGAATTCCTCATCAGTAAAATAAGAGTAGAGTAAATTAGATTAAGAGTTTACATCCTGAGCTGTGGGGGTGTCTTGGAGCCCTTAGAGAATGGGCTGAGTGGCTGGGCCTTTCAGTTGTCTGTTTCTCCTCTAATGCTGATTTCATTTGAAGGAGGGGTTTGACAGGTAAAAATGGCTGAGTCACCGAGTAGATGGCATGTAGCATTATTTTTAGTTCTGAGATTCTGAGAATCTTGTTTTTGCCCACTAAGAGCTTAGAAAAGTGTATACAAGGGTGATTTTCAAGATAGTTGATAAAGGGTAGTGCCATTGGTCAGAAAATGCTGGCTGGAGTAGGCACCTGAAGGCCTCCTGCTGTCAGAAGATAGCCTTTGATTTAGGACTGCACTGTGTAGGGTGCAGATCCTTGGGACAATGCCTGTTTATCAGCTGATTCAGGGGCAGCTCTGTTGTAGCCATCAGTTCAGCCACACAGCCCTGCATGTGTGGCACCTAAGGATTAGATGCTTAGTTCTGCACATAATTAAGTGGATTAGTGATATCTAACGAAAGTGAAAAAGGAAGTAAATTCTACCCTGGGAATATTCTAAGATACTGTCCTTCCTTTGTTCCCTTTGTTCCCCGCCATTCCTACTCAGAATATAAAACAGAAGAAACTTTTCCCTCCTCAAGATTAACATCCCTAACCGTGCTGTTCTCCCACCTCTTGTTTCAATTGTGTTTCAGGTCGTCATGTTGGCAATGTACAACTTGTCTCTAGAAGGAAGTGGACGTCAAGGTTATTTCAGGTGGAAAGAAGATATCTGTGCTTTTATTGAGAAACATTGGACTTTTTTACTAGGGAACAGGTAATGTGTTTTTAAAAAATCTTATACTTGAAGGAATATGTAAAGAATGAAGTATACAAGATTTGAGACTGCCTAACATAGCCTTGTTAGAGATTTATTTTAATTTTTTTGAGACAGAGTCTCCCTCTGTCACCCAGGCTGGAGTACAGTGGCGCGATCATAGCTCACTGCATCCTCAACCTCCTGGGCTCAAGTAATCCTCCTGCGTCAGCCTCCTTAGAAGCTGGGATTACAGGTGTGCACCAACATGCCTGACTTGCTTATTTATTTATTTATTTATTTATTTATTTATTTTTTGAGGAGCGTCTTGCTCTACCCCCAGGCTGGAGTGCAGTGGCATGATCTTGGCTCCCTGCAACCTCCACCTCCCGGGTTCAAGCGATTCTTCTGCCTTAGCCTCCTGAGTAGCTGGGATTACAGACACCTGCCACCATGCCTGGCTAATTTTTGTATTTTTAGTAGAGACGGGGTTTCACCATGTTGGCCAGGCTGTTCTTGAACTCCTGACTACAGGTGATCCGTCTGCCTCGGCCTCCCAAAGTGCTGGGATTACAGGCATGAGCCACTGCTCCCGGCCTTATTTTTTAATTTTTTTGTAGAGACAGGGGTCTCATGTTGTCTCAGGCTGGTCTCGAACTCCTGGGCTCAAACAGCTTTCCTGCCTCAGCCTTCCAGAGTGCTAGGATTATGGGTATGAGCCACTGTTCCTGACCTTGTTAGGTGTTTACTTGTGGCAATTACAAAGAATTTTTGAATTCCAAAGAATGTTTTTACTTTTTTAAGATTGAAAAAACAAAAAAGAAAACTTGGCCAGGCATGGTGGCTCACGCCTGTAATCCCAGCACTGTGGGAGGCCGAGGCAGGTGGATCACCTCTAGTCAGGAGTTCAAGACCAGCCTGGCCAACATGGTGAAACCCCATCTCTACTAAAATACAAAAATTAGCTGGGCGTGGTGGCAGGCAACTATAATCCCAGCTACTCAGGAGGCTGAGGCAGGAGAATCGCTTGAACCCAGGAGGTGGAGGTTGCAGTGAGCCAAGATCGTTCCATTGCACTCCAGCCTGGGCAACAGAGTGAGACTCCATCTAAAAAAAAAAAAAAGAAAAAAAAAAGAAAGTGTTTATTTCAACTGAACATGACATTTTTTGAAGAAATTCTTAGAATGTTAGAAAATAAGAATTGTATTACATGAGACTCAAGAGTTGGATAAGTCAATATTTCACTTGAGGAGATAGGGTTATTACATTCTTTTAAGCTGTGTGTGGTGGGGCATGCCTGTTGTCCCAGCTACTCAGGAGACCAAGGTTGGAGGATCACTTGAGCCCAGGAGTTTGAGGCCAGCCTGGACAGTATAGTGAGACTCCCATCTCTTAAAAAGCACCAACCAGGCCAGGCCCAGTAGTTCATGCCTGTAATCCCAGCATTTTGGGAGGCTGAGGTGGGCAGATCACCTGAGGTCAGGAGTTTGAGACCAGCCTGGCCAACATGGTGAAACCCCATCTCTACTAAAAATACAAAAATTAGCTGGGCATGCTGGCAGGCCCGTAATCCCAGCTACTCGGGAGGCTGAGGCAGGAGAATCGCTTGAACCTGGGAGGCGGAGGTTGCAGTGAGCTGAGATGGTGCCACTTTACTCCAGCCTGTGACTGCGCGAGACTCCGTCTCAAAGAAACAAGCAAATAAAAACACCCAAAACACAGCAGTGCCTTCTAGGAAGACAAGAGAGGAAAAATAAGGCAATTACTGACTGTATGTATTTAGGTTGCCCTTAGTTAACTTTTTTTTTTTTTTTTTTTTTGAGATGGAATCTCCCTCTGTCGCCCTGGCTGGAGTGCAGTGGCGCAATCTTGGCTCACTGCAATCTCTGCCTCCCGGGTTCATGCCATTCTGTTGCCTCAGCCTCCCGAGTAGCTGGGACTACAGGCGCCCAACACTATGCCCGGCTAATTTTTTGTATTTTTTGTAGAGACAGGATTTCACCATGTTAGCCAGGATGCTCTCGATCTCCTGACCTCGTGATCCGCCGCCTCAGCCTCCTAAAGTGTTGGGACTACAGGCGTGAGCCATCACGCCTGGTCGTTAATAGAGTTTTGTGTTACTAATATTTGTTTTGTTAACTCAGTAGACACTTTTTTATATGTTTGACTATTTTTCATAGTGCTTAGCAAAGTCTGGGCACATCTGTATATGGCTTGTTCATTAGTCACTGTGTTTACCATTGCACTTTGAGTTTGCTGCTGTGTGCTCACCTCAGTGGCTGCTTTGGTTCATTAGACTCGGGGATGCTGATGCACAGACCTTGCGACCATGTATTTTCACTAAAGGTCCACGTGGACCTGACAAGACTTTTATTGCTCTTGGGTACTTGTGAGTTTGCTACCACATTGGTGAATTTTTGTTTGAGATTCTGATTGTTAGTTGTTGTCTGAAGTCCTGTGTGAGATTCATGAATCTTACATAATGAGATTAGTTTAGACATGACAAAGTCTCTGACCGCTTCAGGTCAGGGCAGGGAGTTCATGCTTTTCCTCACTTGGGGCTCACTGCAGCCTCTCTTTCTTCCAACGCTGAGGAATCACAGCTTTGCTTGTGTTACTGAGATGCGGGAGGGCGGTCAGAAGGAGGGTGACCTTCTGCAGGCTGCTGTGAGAAAATGGAATAGACTCCCTACATTTTTACAAAAGGGGTTATTTTGGTTCTTGAGCTATTTAGTGGTGCTAAGAAAAGAATCGACACTATAACTGGTTCTTTCTCATAAGGAAAGGAAATCTGTTGTTTTAGTTTAATGATATAGCACTATTTATGGAACTTAATGCACCCCATTTATAAGGGATAAGAAAGGGAAAAAACTGATAAAATTGGATCTTGGAATGTTTTCATGATCTTCGAGTGCTGTTCTATTTAGTGGGTTATCTCCTGGAAGAAATTGGATTTAGATTGCCTGTTTTTAAGGATATTGCTGGAGTTTAACAGAAGTTGTTTAGTTGCTTCATTTGTTCATTTCTAGAGCATGTTTTGAGAGGAATCAGCTGAGCCTTATTTCTTTTTAACATGCCAATGAAAGGCATTAATTACTCTCCAATTTCTGTGTAGTGTAACTGTTATCTAGTGTGTTGGCCATATTGGTATATCACCGGATTTATTAATTTGATCTTCCTATTTAAATCAAGTCACTTAAAAAATACATTAATTTTAAAAGAAACTTATCATCATGGTAAGTGGGAAACCTATATAAATTGTCATAAATAGAATGTAACAATAAAAAATAAAACTGCTGTTAAATTGTAGCTGGATCCCATGACGCATAATGGCAAGCCATGGCTTTCTTTTCCAGTCAAAAAGGGAGGCTACAAGTGTTAATGAGAATTTAAAGCAGTAAACGTCTCTTGATCTAACCAGAAGAAGCAAAAGAGAATTAGAAACCACTCTATGATTCTTGCCACCCGGTTTCATGCTACAGTGCTGCTCTTCACTTTGGGAACTCCACTTGAAACATCAGTGATTGGAAAATCCCCTGAAGCCACTACCCCTGGGTAGTTACCACTTGCTCAGATATCTCTGTGTATGTTAACAAGATTACCATACCCCAGAGAAGCTGTTTATAAAGAGCATTTATGTTTAAGGTACACTTTTTTTCATAGCTACTAAAGATTTTCATTCTGCTATCCATAGGACATATTTTATTTATTTGTGTATTTACTTACTTACTTACTTATTTTTTTGAGACGGAGTCCTGCTCTGTCATCCAGGCTGGAGTGCAGTGGCGCGATCTCAGCTCACTGCAGCCTCCACCTCCCAGGTTCAAGCAGTTCTCCCATCTCAGCCTGCGGAGACGGTACTATGGGCACACCCGACCATGCCCAACTAATTTTTGTATTTTTAGTAGGGACAGGGTTTCACCATATTGGTCAGGCTGGTCTTGAACTCCTCACTTTAGGTGATCCACCCGCCTGCCACCCAAAGTGCTGAGATTACAGGCATGAACCACTGTACCTGGCCAGGACATACTTTAAATTCTTAAAAATTGTAACCATTTCTTATTTGTCACAAGATCTAGGAGAATAGTATTCAGTGTAATGAAGTTCTAAATTTTCTTTCAGATGTTTACAGGTTTTTCTTTTATGTCTTTAATATGTTATTAACGTTTAAATGTAGAAAGGTGTTTTTTTTTTAGTGCTAACCTAAATAATTTTCTGTACCATTGTAGAAACAAGTTAGAAAGTATATGAAAACTTAATTATTACTAAATAATTTCCTAATATTTGTTCATTTAATCTGCTTTTAGTCCTAGCCTTGAATTCTTCGAGAAGGTATAGTTTTGATTAGTGAAGAATAGCTTGAATATTTTCTTCTAGTACCATATTTTACTGATTTTAAGATACATAATTTTGCCAGGCGCGGTGGCTCAAGCCTGTAATCCCAGCACTTTGGGAGGCCGAGACGGGCGGATCACAAGGTCAGGAGATCGAGACCATCCTGGCGAACACGGTGAAACCCCGTCTCTACTAAAAAATACAAAAAACTAGCCGGGCGAGGTGGCGGGCGCCTGTAGTCCCAGCTACTCGGGAGACTGAGGCAGGAGAATGGCGTGAACCCGGGAGGCGGAGCTTGCAGTGAGCTGAGATCTGGCCACTGCACTCCAGCCTGGGCGACAGAGCGAGACTCCGTCTCAAAAAAAAAAAAAAAAAAAAGATACATAATTTTGCAAATTTTGACATCTCTGACAGCTAGATACATCTTAAGGTTACTGATATGTCATAATTTAATTGGTAGTTAGCTCTTATTTGTACATAAAATGGTGTATCTTAAAGTTAATGGATCTTAGAATTGATGAAATATGATAGAACGCATTTGTAGTATCTATTCTTCAATCAACTTTATGAGGAGGATTCTGGGAAGGTGGCAGATATGAAGCATCCGCCGTCCTGCCTAGACAGCAGTTGCACTGGCAGTCAGACCGATGGAACTATTTTGGAACTCTAGAGTCTAATAAAGGCTTG